AACTTTAGGTTTAGTTTTACTTCTTCTTCACTGTCATAGTAGGCGTATTTACTACTACTATATACGAGTAGTAATACGTCCGACGCGTTCGTTCTTGTAATACTACCTCTCTCTCTCTCTCTCTCTCTCTCTCTCTCTTAGGTGATCTGTATCTCTCTCATGTGAGACAGTGAGACTGCTACAATGATCGATATGACCATGAAAGATCTAATGTTACAAGCGTTCTCACCCATCAAATGAATGGATGGGCGGCGTGGATTGAAGGGATGCCAACCAATAGGGTCACACCATGTTATAATGGGTCTCACTCTCTCTCCATTCACTCTGTCAATAAATTGCATTGACCATTAAGACCGTAGATTTCCTACGGTTACATAAATCATAATCAACCCTAAATTGTAATCGTTTTGTTATTTCAAAAGATTTCATTATACTACGAGAGTATACTATCCATTTACTCCTTAGATGAATCCGGGCAAATTTAAGACCCAAATTTTGGGGATCCAAACTCTTCACCCCCATTGACTAACATCAATAAAAAAAAGGGGGAAATTTAACAAAATACACTTCCATTTAACATTTTTCCTATATTTTTATTTAATTTCAACCCATCATAATACATATCATTTTGAGTTGGAAAAGTAAAAAATTAGTAAAATATTTAGTAGTTGAAAGCTGAGGTGCATTTTTATAAATTTTCCATTAAAAAATTTACAGATTGCAACCTCTATGCACTTGAAAAAACAGTCTCCGTATCAAACAATGGACCGCCCAATTTTTAGACGGTCATATCTAAGTATTGGAAATTCAAATTCAAATTTGTTTTTTTGAAATTAATAATCTAGTGATTATTTGGTGGTTCTCAAAATTTAAGATTGAAAAATATACTAAATAAGACTTTCGACCAACGGAGTAGAAGTACAGTATGCTCCTGCGGGAGCGTAGTTCTCCTGCAATATTATCTTATAATTAACAAAAGAGTTAGGGTTATGCAGGTATCTCATTCACATTTGGTCAAAACTTTCATTTTCGAGTGATACACTTGTGCACCAGCTTTTGAGAGGGTCATTTTTTACTTTTATTGTAGATTCATGAGCCAAATGAATGACTGAGATTGCATACACGTGCTAATGAAAAACATCTTGACCATCCATTCTACCTAGTATTTCCTTCTACTTATAAATGAAGTCCTAAATGGACCTCTACCCGCCGGTTCCCTTTGTCTTGTGTGCTTTTCTACTCTTTTTTTGTTTTTTTTTTTGCTTTTTCCACTTTTTCCTCTTTTGTTTAAGGATGATTTGAATGCTACCAGAAATTTGGCTTCTTCCTCAATGTCTTTTTTATTTATTTGGGCTAATTTTTATGTTTTTTTTTAGGACCCTTTGTTTGGCATAAACTAACATAACCACGAGGGCATAAACTAACATATATGGTTGGACAATCATAACCATGGTTATTAAGACTGGACTAGATCGGCAGTCCAATTAGTGAACCCCGACAATCAGTGTCTTAGGTAGTCTAATCTAAATTAAAAACCATATTTAGTAAAAAACCTGGACAAAACTCATATTTGAATGATTTTGGTTGGTTAGACAGGCTATCCAAACAACCATTTCTCTCATATATTATATATATATTAAAACTATTACTCATCATTATCATAGCTTTTTTCCAATTAATTGGGATCGACTACGTGAATCAAAGTTCATCATGCTGCTTTATTAAAGACCATATCCTCAATGAGACCATAATGCCCCATATCTTTGCGGACTATTTTCAACATCTTTTTGGGCCTACCCCTTACCCTTTCAGTCTTTTTACTTGAACTAAATTGCACCTTCTAACAGGTGTTGTACTTGGTCGGCGCCACAGATGGCCAACCCACCTATGTCTACCATATCTTATCTTATTGCTTATTGGTGTCACACTAAATTTTCCCGAATGGATTCATTTCGAATTCTATCCCTTTTTGCCTTGTCATTCATCCATCTCAACATCCTCATCTCTGCTACATTGATTATATAAATATAGTTTTTGTTGTCTATCCAACATTCCGCCTTATAGAGCAGGCTCACAATTGCCCTTCAAGTTCATTGATATACGACGATCACATAAAATTCCAGTTGCACATCTCCACTTTGCCCACCCAGCTCTAAGTTTGAGTGCGATATCTTTCTCAATGTCTCAATTTTCTTGGATTATCGACCCAAGATATCGAAAGTGTGGTCTTTTCTGTACTTCTTGGCGGTTAATCTTACCTACTTCCTCATCTCTACTCTTATTGTTACTAAACTTGTATTCTATATACTCAGTCTTATTCTGGCTAATATTAAGACCTTTGGATTCTAGAACATCCCTTCAAAGTTCTAACTTTGTATTGACATCAATTTCGGGTCACATAGATAAAAAACTATGTCATCTATGACCATGCACCATAGTACCTCATCATGTAGGAGCCTAGTTATGGAATCCATTGTGAAAGGAAAGTATATATCGTATATCCAATTAATATAGAAAGTATATATTGCAATCAGTAAATCTAAGAAGGGTAAGATATTGTGTCCTGTATTTTAGGCTAAGTATGTGTATAGTTTAGATGTCTATAATTTAGTTTGTATTAGTGTTATATGTAATTTGTTAATAAAAGACAAGTCTGTATATTCACATCAATTAATAGACACTAAGTCTCTTCAGAGAAACCTGAGACTCTTCACCTAGTATCAGAGCCAAATTCATCTTAACTATATCCATTCCTCGTCCCTGAAGCATTGTCGTCAATTTTCAAGATGAGTTTGTTGTTCATCCAGTCGGTGCAACTTTTGTCAAGTCGTGTTTCGACTCTCTACAAAGTCGTATTTCGACTATCTGATCTGTTTGATCTTTTCCAAGAGTTCATGAAGCCATATGTTCTCGAGGCTTGTTGATTCGTCGCTGCTTTATCTGCTTGTTGATCAAGCAATCTGAGTATGCACCTGAAGATCTAATTGCCTGTTTTTGTGACTTGGTGTTCAAACTCCAGTTGCTCTCTTTTATAGCATCTTGAGTTTGAGGGGGAGTGTGAAAAGAGATTGTATATTGTGTACCTGGTCAATATAGAAGGTGTATATTGTAATCAGTAACTATGAAAAGGGTAGGATATTGTGTCCTGTATTTTATGGCAAGTCTTAGTATAGTTTAGGTGTATATGTTTTAGTTTCTATTAGTGTCATATGTAATTTGTCTATAAATGACAAGTCTGTATATTCATATCAATTAATAGACACTAAATCTCTTCAGAGAAACTTGAGACCCTTCACACCCATAACTAAGAAAAAGAGG